CGTGTGCTCTTCCGATCTCAAATGATTAGTCATGATGAGACAATAATCGCATATAATTTTTGAGTTGAGCATATGATTGGTTTGCGAAATATTAGGGATCAAAGTTGTGCCTATCCTTTGAGAATGTTTGACACTATGGTGTTTTCATTGTCCTAATATTCATGTTAAAAAATAGTTCCGACAGTATTTTATTGTTTTTTAGGTCGCTGGTTACGAATCTGTAATCTAAATTCCAAAATTCGAAATGGCGGATTCAATATGGCTGCCCGATATTGCAAAATTAAAAATAATCTAAATGAAAATCGCTTCTCGGGGATTTTTTAGGTCGCTGATTATGAATCTGTAGTTTGAATTTAAAAATTCAAAATAATTTGACTAAAGTTTGCTTCATTGACGTCATTAAAGTGAAGCAGACATCCTAAGCTGCGTGGCTGTCACTCTTGCACAATCGGCTACCCCCACCACGCGTTTACCGGTAATAATCTCAATTGTCCAAAGAACGATAACGAGTAATTACAATATGACGAAACACATACGAAATTTGTTCCACGTGTGGGTTTTCTTTCGTACCATAAAATATATAGTACAATATATAATTATAAATATTGGCATACAAATAACGTAATATAATATCACTGTATTAAAAAATGTCAAAAATTACCTAAATTGCGTTGCAGGTTAAAACAGATATAATTAATCGTTTGACCATTGGTCATTTTAGTCACTTTAAGTCTGTTTTGTGAAACTTAAAAATATTTGAAAAGACAATGGCATTCAACTTTTGCTGCATGTACTTTTGAATAGTTAAACGGTTTATTAAAAAAACATTTTTGTTTCTATATCTAATCAAATACTTGGCAACTTGTATGATCTCATACTTGTTTTTGGACAATTTTTATTCGTTAAAATAATATTTTTGATATAGGAAGGATGTAACGTATGATACTTTTTTATATACTTGGCGTAATCTTTTTCTTTTTTTTTTAAATACATTTATATATAAATTATTAATGCAATCCAGACACGCCAAGTTTTTGCTTCACTATGATTGATCATTTTAGTCACTTTAAGCTTGTTTTATCAAACTTAAAAATATTTAGAAAGACAATGGCATTAAACTTTTGCCACCTATACTTTTGGATGGTTAAACGGTTTATTAAAAAGATATTTTGTCTTTATAGCTAATTAAATGCTTGGCAACTTGTATGATTTCATATTTGGATAATTTTTATTTGCTAAAATAATATTTTTGGTTTAGAAAAGATGTAACGTACGATTTTTTATATACTTTGCGTAAATTTTTTCTTTTTTCAAAAAGAGTTTTTGTTCGTTATCTATTTCCTCAAATTATATTTAAAATTATCCCCACGCAACGTTACTAATAAATAGCTCTTGATAAGATCCTACGTTTCTTATAAATAGCGCTTGATAAATTCCAACTCCACAGTCCTTTTCGAGTTATTGCCAAGTACGTATTTGCTAATAAAAAAGTAAGTAATTTTTCGTTTAGCATATATTTTACCTTAGATATTATTTATTTATTATTAATTTAAATAAATTTAAAACTATATATGTGGATGTTTAATTAAATAAAAATGACTATAAATAAACTTTTTTATATTCGATATATTCGATTTCTATATTCTTATAAAAGTCACAAGATTCTTTCTTACGTATAAATATCAATAAGAATTGTTTATTCCTTTTACGTTCGCTTTACACATAATAATAATGAAATAATATTAGCCTTTATATTAAAATGTTATTTATGTTTCACATTAAAACTTATTATCGACAGAGAAAATGCATTCTACGGCTTTGATTCTGTCTTTGTCTGTAATGATAATGATGGTTAATTCCTTCGTGGCTTCATATCCAGGGGGAAATGATATGTCCACAGGTGAGTCTTAAATAAATCTATACATATATACATATTACTCAATTATTACACAGAAAACAATGAAATTGAATATTGTACGCTGTACAGTATTTATACATTAGTTTTAATAATATAGTATATACATATAAAGATAAAAAAATACGGTGAATTTTGAAATAAAAAGGAATCTATTACATATAAAGACAAATTACAATTAGTTCCCTTCAAAATACTCCGTTTCGCTTCTAATACATTTATCCCATCACGATCATTCTTGTCACTTGCTAAAGCAGTACTGGAAGAGAAATCCACAAGTGCCTTTAGTTGCGCTGCAAATTCGTGACTTCCTCGATGTCCTGAATTAATTTAAAACGTTTACAGTGAATTCTGAATATTATAAAGGCTTATTAGAGCGTTTAAGAAACAAAGAATGTACGTAGAAAAAGACTTGAGAAATGGGCAAATAGTTTCATCCTTCATGACAACGCTCCGTGTCACACATCGCTTCTGATACAATTTCTGTTAAATAAAACATTACGGTGTGTTCACATCCACCGTATTCACGGATTTGGTACCGTACGTGCGACTTCTGGCTTTTCCTAAAAAAAAAAAAATTCAAAATGATCATGAAAAGTAAACGTTTTAAATCAATTCAAGACATCCAGGCAGCCACGACAGCGCAACTAAAGGCACTTATAAAAGAGGATTTTCAATACTGCTTTAGCAAGTGACAAGAACAGGATAAGTGTATTAAAAGCGAGGGGGAGTATTTTGAAGGGGGGATACTAATTGGCATTTGTCTTTTAATCAAATGAATTTCTTTTCATTTCAACATTCATCGTATTATTTGATCATCCCTGATACATATATATGTATATATTATATGTTAATTCATGTGAATTAAGCAATTAAATATGTATGTATACAGTAAAACACTGTTTGCCTGCACTTCGTTTATACAAATGGTACTTTCAAATATACGAATTCATAGTTGAATTTTTGTTATGATGATTGTACAAAAACATCATAGTGTAGCGCAAAATTTCTTTGCAGCTAAAAATCTGTTTGCAGATAAAAAATATATACAATGTTAAAATACAGTGTATCGTAATATTGATTTTTTTAAAATTATTTTTATTAACAAAAAGTAAGCATATATTAATAAATATTCTTATTATCTTTTAACTAAATTATCTTCTCTTAAATTGTATATATCTTTTTCTCTTTTTCTCTCTCTTTCTCTCTCTTTTATTTCCTTTAATATTAAATTCTCTCATCATGTTTCTCAATACGTCATACCAGTGAATGAATCGCTGTACTAATTGTACAGAAGTATTCACACGATTTTCCTTTATTGTTCAAGTTTTGCCAACTTCCAATAAAACTTGTCAATCAACATTTTTTAAAGAAGACCTGTCAAAGACACGGTACAGTAGACTAACGATCACTATTAGTGTTTTACTTTTGACATAACGCTGCAAACGTGCAGCAAGAAAAGAGTACATACAGGGTGTCCGGTAAAGCGTTCATGGGCAGGTAGAGTGGGTTAAATTGAATCGAAAAGTCCTCTACCATTTTGCGATCTTCGCAATAGTTATCGATATATTATTTTATAAAGATCGCCAAATGTGAACGAGCGGCAAAATACGTCCACCTACTGTGGATCGCGGTCGCCAAGCGCGCGGCGCGTGATGAGAGTAATTGATTGCCTAGCGCGCAATAATCAATTATCTCCACCCCGCGCTAGGCAATCGCGTAGTGGCATTGTTAAAACAATTACCCCCCCCC